GGGGGGGCAGGACCGCGAGGGGTCCGTTGGGGGTCGCGGGGCTCTCTGTGCTCGGCCGAGCGAGAGAAGCCGGCCTTTGTTGGGCAGGACGCTCAGCGCGCTCGCTGGATCTGACGGGGCGGCCGACGTTAGGTAAGCGCGTCGCGTCGGGGGGCGGACAGCGGCGCACACACGGAGAGCACCCTCACCACCACCTTCCCCTGACGGCAGCCCTCCACACGGCGGCACGAGTGTGCCTCGGCAAAGGGAACGAGCAGGTGTGTGCGGGTGGGGCGGGGCGGGGCGTTCGCGGCCTCGCTGCCGCCACCGCCCACCCTCCCTCGCACGACGCACAAGCGACGCAGCACACACGGCTCGCCCAGTTTTCCTTACCTTTATACCCCCTCGCGGTTTTACCCCGCTCGACCCCACACACGACCCCACATCGTACCCCCTAACCTTTAGCAGCACACGCAGAAGCCGCCGCCGCCGCCCTCGTCAAAGGACGCGTGGGAAAGTGAGGTGAAGCGGCGGGGAGGAAAACTTGGAGCCGTCGGCTTATTGACAACCCTCGACGGATACACTTCAAGAAGAAGGAGGAGGCGGCGGGCGGGGGCGGTACGTAAGGCGCTTTCGTGTTTCGCATGCATTTCTCACGAGATGAAACTGCGAGGCGAGCGCAGGAGTGATTCCGATGCAGCAGCGTGGGCCCCGACGGCTCCGCCCCCCTGGCCCCGGGGTGGCCTTTCCCGCCGGCAAATAGGATTGCGAGTACCTCCCGGCGGGGCCGCAGTCGTAGGGAATTCCAAAGCGAGTTGCTGCTGTAACGCGAACGCGCGCGCGAGAAAGGTTCTCTTGCGCAAACGAAATGTAAGCGATCTCTTGGCGGTGGACTCTGCTCGGCTGGACAAGACAAAAACAAAAACATTCCTGTCCATTTTCCCGCGGCCCCCTTCCCCGTCAGTGTGATGGGTTTGACTGGTTCGGCCTGCCGCCCGCAGCAGCAGCAGCAGCAGCAGCAGCAGCAGCAGCAGCAGCAGCAGCAGCAGCAGCAGCAGCAGCAGCAGCAGCAGCAGCAGTCACGTCTGCGCCGCCCAATTAGTGGCGCTGGCTCGGACGCCGCTTTGACGCCGCTGTTGACACGGGATTAGTTCGTTAACGGGGGGGTCCGCGCGGGGGCCCAGCGGCGGCCGGGTCTAATCAGGCGGAACACGGAGTGGGGCCCAGTGCTGCGCCCTGCCCCCCTAGAGCCCCGCGGCGCCC